CATGATTTTCCGTTGCTTCACCACAGACACTTCTGAAAAACATCTGGATTAATTTGCTAGCAGATAGGAGAATTTAAAAGATGGAAAGATGAGGTTTATCTACAGAGAGATGTGTGAGGGAATTTGTCTGTTTTAACCAGAACAGCACGCTCCTTTGGAAATCAGCTTGGCCCAACGGTACGCTTGGTTGAGATCGAACTTTTTACCTTGCAGACGATAGTTTCAGCGTTGGTGTAGAGCTCTCCTTTCAACTCTTTCAGCGTCTCCGTGAGAACAGCTAAAAACCTCTGGAGTCGTGAGGTTATCCAAACAGAAGTTCATAATTCCCAAATCGTCTCTGGTTCAGCTTGATTCTCTTTCAGCAGCATCCTGAATTCCAGCATTCTGCATTCTGGAACTCTAAAACTCTCTCTAGTTTGAACTAGGAAGTACTGACATTTTAAAGAGCTCTACTTCCAGTTCATTTGAGAGCTTCTGATTGGTCGATGAACCAAAACAGAGGTGTGTTTTGTGATGTAAGGTGTTATGAAAAGTCAAGGAAAAAGATTAAGATTGTTTAAGAACAGACAGAAAGATATTATGAAGAAACCAGACTTCGTGGAGCCACCTCTTCCAGTATCTTGCTGTAAAAGTTAAACATGACATTTCTTTTCAGTAAACTTTCAGTTGACCGAAACTTGAACTTCGACACACTTACAACTTCGCTCATTGAAGACAGAAAATCAAAAAATGCATATTAACCTGATTTCTTCTTTGAATGAGGATTAAGGATCATTATTACTGTTTCACAGTTGATTTAAATGATTAGTTCACTTCAACATTTAAAAATGGTTTGAACTAAAACACAATTTGATTATCAAAACATTTGTAAAATAGTAATGATCATAGAGAATTGTCTTTTTCCACTTGATTAATTCAAGAAAGAAAGTCTCAGGATGGGTCAACCTGTATTTCTGGATGCAAATCAATGAAATGACAAGTTATGTCCCATTGGTCCTTAGGTCAAGGTTTTGACCTTCAGGCCTAGTTCACTACA